TACAAATCACAAATTGGTAAATTCTTATATCTTCCTAGACTCGGCACACCAAGCTCAAATTGAACGATATCAAGGTCATATTGAATGAGAATGAGTAGACAAATTCCAGTACCACAGCGCACACGGACGTTTAACATATGATTCGCGCTATAACAAATGGATACCACATATTTGAATCAATAACCCATCAAAATGTAACGCCGACACCAAAAAAAGGCTACCAAGAAATAATGTTTTTTGATCGAACAAAGTAATTAGAAAAAGTATAACTAACACGAAATTTAAAAGATGATACTATATTGTATGAAGAAACACGCTTACTCTGTAAAAACGAGCTAGGATATTTGACCCCACTACACGAACACAGGCAACCATATTTTGGTTTTTTAAGGACACGAGTGCCATATTTTGAGTAGCTAAAATTCACTCAAGAACGATAGATTTTCACCACATACACTTTAACGAAACTACACCTTTTGACAAAATCAACTCTGATCTAATCAGATCAATTGGACAGAAATAGAAAATTATTGATAAACAAAATAAATAAACACGTTTTCAAGTTTACCCAGAAACGGAAGTATGATGTGAATCTCCCATACCAATTTTCAAAAACACTATTCAGAAATTCTTGTCGAATACGAAAAACGCTTCCACATGGAAACAGGCAAAATAATTTTTGACCCAGCACATCCATATCAAAATCGATAATCTCATCACCATAATCATCATTTATGTGAGCTCGAAAAAAAACAATTACTATAATCGCTCGCATTAGCGGTACTCAAAATATCTTACGCTGAATATCAATTATCAGAAAACCGCTATAAGTTCATTGACTATGAAGAAATGTTCTTTGGTTTTACTCATACACTAAAAAAATTCACCACTTACTCACAATCAGCCGACAGATTGGATCCCTCAACCGTTCCCTTTCCAATCGTTCAAACTTCCAACGCCACTCCTTCTGCATTTCAATCTCAGACCTCACCTCTTGCCTGCTACCTAGATTTTCTTCGAACTTACCACTCATGGACTCAGACGATTCAGCACAAACAGTTTTCAACACCATCTCTAACTTTAATAACTCTGATGTAGAAACCCCTGACAAATTCCTAGATTACTAGCGGTTAACCTTAGCCGAAACACACCACCAGAACTGATAACACAAAAAACAGTACAAATAACACAAAATATAAAATTCTGCCTTGCAAAAGACAAAACATCACCACGACTGGATTTTAAATACGCAGTAAGAACTAAACCTGACACTACGCAAAAAAAACATCTTAGAACCCTTTCCATTTTATAGAAACAACAGTATAATGAAATAGAATAACTAGGAAAAATATGTTTAACTCATTGCCATACTCTCCACGGATAAAAAAACAATGCACAACAAAAATTTCCTGAACAAAAACAAAATCGAAAAAAATATTTCCCAATAGTAGAAAAATAAACTTATATTTTGACGCTTCTGATATCCTTTCCCCAATTTCAAGTAACCAACCCGACGCTACTAGCACCATTACTGACAATCAATTAGGGCATGAAAAAGATAACTTTATGACACAGCAATAACACCTTCACGACACAAATAACCCATTAACAATTCATCAACTAACCCACTCAGCTTCAACATCCGGATCCTCAATCCATAAGTTCATATTGCACCCACAAGAGTACAAATAGTTTTTAAACGAAAGCACCTTAATACTACACCTCAATTCCTTATTAGTTGTCCACGTTCATCCCTGTTATATTACCCTCACCCACAACACATCAACACCACAGAACTTTTAATTTATAACTTACCATTTTTCCCCAATATACATACTATGCAACAACTAACGATAACCCGCTGAACTTGTTTTTTGATGAAAATGTGCTAGTTCCCACACTCTTCTGGATCACGTACTACTTTTTTACTAATCTACTGAAACTTCCCTTGAAAAACAAACCCGAAAATTATGAAGTATGTCTTTCCCTCGCTCATCAATTAATCACAGCACTAAGTTAAAATAAATTCAACAACCATTCGGATACACCAGGCCCTTAATTGTTTCATAGCACCACGCCCTAACCGATTTTCCATTGATCATCATGATCATTCTATAACCCGATATATGGAAGACATACCAAACTAAACCTCAACTAACATACTTTTTTTCATTAAATTCGATTCTATATTCCACCTAGATAGCACTAATAAGGAATTAAATAACATTATTGCCCGCACACCAAATTTTTCAATAAATTTATTCTTTTAGCACTCAAATTTCACTTCCTTACACCCAAGGAAAAAGACATTACTTTCACTGTACAAACGTGATCATGTGAAAAAAAAACTAATCCACACGTAAACATTTTGTAGATTTATACAAAATCATTACATAACTAACTCATCAATACGTAACCCACAACAACGTTATTAACTCAAAGTATACATCACCATATTTCTTAAACTTTACTCAATGTATTGAATCAATTAACTTAAACGGCATCCTCCGTAACTTATATCCCATCAGACGAATGTATACATTCTGCCCACTAACCAACACTTTCCTTCTTGATGACGCTCGGCCACTCAATTTCCTCCACGAATAAATGCAGCCCATTGAAATAACGCTATTAGAACATATTAACAATACTAAAATTAACCACAAACTATATAGTCGAATTCAAAACACAAATAATAAATTTTCACTTCTTACTGAAGAAGCTAACACCATCAGAGCGCTGGAATTTTTCTGGCCTCTGCTTCGCACTAAATACGTAATCCGCATGCTTGCCAAACTTCTCGTAAAGTTGGACTCGATTAAAACAAACTCCCCCATGTGTTTTTTAATAATGCAGAACCCTCAACGCAGCTTACTAACACCGTAAAACCAACTTCCTGTATAAGAACGTCCCACGGTACTCAGCAATCCGTTTTTGTTGAGAAAGACAAAACAAAAACGAAAAAGAGAAAAACACCTTATAAAAAGAACAAAAAAAGTTGATTACAAAAAGAGACTCTGCTCAAAGAGACGGTTAAAATCTAACTTCGCTCAAAGTACATGCTCCCGCTATGTGCTACGATCTCGATCCTCAATTTTTATCAAGAGAGGCTGCAAATCAATCGAAACTAAAATTTTTTTTTGCAAAAATAACTAATAAGTAACTAAAACTGATCTCACTAACAAAATGTAGATTTAATATGCAATGTAGAAAAAATTATTAGAGCAAACGGAATGAGCTGCAAAGGGAGTTGAAAACTCGACGATATTCCAACCGTGGAATGTCAAAACTATTAGTTTGTTGCAGTAGTAACGACCCTCACAGAATTTAATGTATGGACCCAACATCGTAGGAAATGTATCCATTGAAGAAGAACAACGGCCAACTCGATGTGGACTTCACATACAGATTCTAGTCACTTGGCGCTTTACACAAAGAAGTCAAACTCCATCTTGCATGTAGTCTTGCTCTAGCTTAACGAAATCAAACGATCATTGCATGAATCTGAAATCTTGACACATTCACTCAAGACGATCTAGAATAAAACGAGACATACTTCTGGAACAAGAACAACTGCCCTTCTTCTCTCTACGAAGACAACTACATCTCTCCTTCCTTCACGCAGTCCCTGCTTCAAAAGAAAACTACTCAGAAGAACAGAGAAATATCTCCATTTATCCTTCACTACAATAAACAATCTGTAAACTAAAAACGATCTAAGCCCCGGTTGGGTAGAATCAGTTTAAATTTAGTACTTACAACCAATTGTATTCTTGATAAAAACTATTCCTATAAAATATTTCTTGCAAACCAATCATGATCCATAAGTAACACTGACAATTATTGTAGTTGCAGTTTCAGCACCAGAGCAATTTGAATAAAACCTAAAAGACAGTTCCAGATACCTAACTCGCGAATACCAGCATAAACTAGATCTATTGAGACTAGGAGATTTCGGAGTAAGATTAATATTGGCATTAGACTAAGAAGTTGCACGAATCTATCTGGCCGAAAATAAGATGAGATTAATATCGGTATTAGACTAAGAAGTTGCACGAATCTATCCGGCCGAAAATAAGATAGCGTGACGAACAGTGTACCTTATCTGAAATTACCCTATGAGTGAGCCGCCCCGGACATAAACTCAAATTTTCACGTTAGTTTGTTGGGACAACACTTTTTTTGATTGTTGACAAACTCGTTTCTTGCCCTACTTATTTTTTGTGTGAATCAGCTGAGCGATAAAACCAGAATCTGGCTTCTTACTATTAATTTATGGACGGTTAATGTCTTTTTTCTCAATCAAGTTTTTTCGACGACTGCCATTTAAAATCTAATAAAATCTTCTCTCGGTTTTTCTTTAACCCGTGCCATCTCACTCTGGTTCGTTGACATAATTGTGTAAGACTGATTATCCTAAACAAAACATTTGCATATTTGCAGCTTTACCGTTCAAAGTTCTCGATCTCATTGAGCCGCAAAAAACCTCGAAAGTATCCATTTAGATCCTGGAAATTGTTTGATCCAATCCGCTTTTTTTGAGATAGGTTTTTTAAGATCTGACATTCAAAGTCTTCAGGATTGTCTTTCGCTTTCTGATGAACACAACATTTCCCCCACTTATTCCGTTCAATCCACAGACATGTATTGTTTTAAGTCATTTAATTTTTTCAATTTCTGACAATGCAATCAAAAGCCATTGAGATCCTAATTTTATTTCAAGAAAAGTACAACAAAACGAAGAATCAAAAGTTTCAGCCCGCAAAAAATTATATGCAAAATTTATACATAAGTTTCTAAAATTCTGAAAAATTCTGCCGCACTTGCTTCAATCGCAAAAGTCTGGCCAGGATTGACCTTTATGGCATTGGTCGTGAAACGCGAAGTTTTTTTCTTGTGTAGTTTTCCGCTGATTCTAATTTACTCATATGCTAACTTAGGCATAACATGGACCCAGATATCAATAATTTTGTTTGAAGTTAAAAGTTTGATTATTTCAGCTCATTTTGTGTGTCTGTGGATCTAACTCGAACACAATGCAGCAATTCGTGAAAAAATTTCAAGATGCTGAGAAAAGAATGCACATTTCTTTATTTGATCAAATTGATTGGTTTATCTACAAAATGCCGGAGAAGATAAATAGACTCTGCACAACATGGTCTGCTCCTTTGAAAGAACCCATTTCTGGACCATGTATGAAACTTATAAGAAGTTGTCCTAAAGAAACTGTCATCTTCAAATTGCGGAGAAAAAGTTTCATTTGCGGTGGTGGTGCAGAAATATCATTTCAGAATACAGAAGAAGTTTTTCAACTTTTTGACGTCTTTTTCAAAGATCGTAACGAAAAAATTTGCTTTGTGCCCGATATTGATTTAATTTGCGATAACCTTCTGTACAAAACTACTGATAACGGGGAATTAGGAAAAGTGACAGACACTAGCTCTTACAAAGGTGAAGTTGAACTGTTTATTCGCGAATACCTTTCCAAGCTTAAATCACCGAATGGTATCATGCTAAAAAATTACAGCAGCAGACATTTTGCCACTTTACTTGACGATGATTCCGTTCAACCTGGAGATTTCCAAACTGACTGGCTCTACATTGGTGATGAAAAAATCATTGCCATCGAAATTGGGTTAACAGATACGACGAATTACGGAACCAATTCCCACTGTACAACTGTCAGCAACATGATAACTAATGTTCTCAAAACAACCATTCCGTATTTTCAGACTATTCTGTATTCAATTTTCACTGCCTCGATCAAACAGACCCACGAAAATGCAACAGATTTTATTAAAAGGGTTTTCCAAGTTTGCATTATCCTGCCGAATATAACATTCCTGCAGCTTCGAAATGCACTAGACAAGATGAAAGAGAATCCGACATACAATGATATGTTCAACTTAATGAAATACAACGAACCCTTTTGGTCACAGAATATGTTTTTTGTAGCTCAACCTGATCCCTGGACTGATTATTTGTTCAGAATCGACGAAAAACTCACACTTTTCCATAACCTCTCCCCAAGTGATTTATTGAGTTCCAATCGCGATTTAGCAGCGATGACAAACTCAAAACCTGACCTTCCCAGTAATACAAAAACGGTTTCATTTGCTGAACTGTTCAGCTCCAAATCGAGCACACAATCTTTTGTATTCCGTGATTTATCAGCATTGATAGCCTTGTCTTCTCTGAATTTCATCGAACTTTCTTCAGATAAACTCCAATTCCGTGATGTCGATGAAAGATACCGAAGATCGTTTAGTAACTGGAAGGCAAAACAAGACAATTTGACATATAGTGGCAGCGACTTCATTCTGAGCCCAGAGCAACACCGTATTCTATCTAACGAAAACGCAACGCATTTATTGATTAGCGGAGAACCGGGATGTGGCAAAACATCGCTTCTACTGGCTAAATGTCAACTGATAGCTGAAAAAAATGATGTGAAGACAATTTATTATCTTGTGAATGAAACAAAAACTTTATTTCGGGACTCTCTGACCAAGATGGTTGAAAAACATGGAAGTGATCTGTTGAAAAGCAAGCTGGTCATAATTCCTGTAACAGGCGATTACCACATTTCAATCAGGTGAGTTTTTTTGTATCCATGTCTGAACGTTTCTTTTCAACCAATTATCAACAAATTGATTTTGATTTGTTCTATCTCGTAGATTGAAATAGTCGGATGCGGCTATAATAGGCAAAAATTCTATAACGTGAAAAAAAGTGTTCTTAAAAGGCTAAAATCGTTGCAGTCAAAAGCGTGTGTTTAGCAAACTTTCACTCATTTAATAACCTTAATCGTTTGCTGCATTCTGAAGTCAAGTTAGCATAAAGTATATAAGCAAAATGGCAGACATTAGATGCGCCGAATGATTCAAGCGTTCGTAAGAACCGAACTGACGAGTAGATTCTATACTAGCATCCATCGAACTTCGATTTTATTAAAAGACCCTCTCGTGTCAAAAATATACGCAGCGAAATGGATCCAAGTAAATTACTGCTACTTTTCAAGACCTGATGAAACAAGGGCGTCACTAAAGTTACTTGTCTGAAAATTGATTTGTTTGCTACATACAGCCCCGTGTTTCCATCTATACCATATATCAACAATTTATTAATTATATTTTGGGATCAGTGACCGATATGTTATTTAGTTAAAAAAAAAGAACTACAGTAGTATGAGGGGCCGCCAGGGATTCTTAGGGGGGGGGGGGGGGGGGGGGTCAAAATCACCTAAAATAAAAATAAGACGTGGGCGCCTAAGATCCGACACCTAAGGGGTCCTAAATTATCTTGTAGTCAGCCTTCATTTTGCTGGTGGATTACAAGATCCTCACTTGAGGATCCAAACTTTTGGGTGGCCTCCCCCCTGAGGATTTTACCAAGAGTCATATACCCATGTAGCAAATTTCTAGATCCCTGGCGGATAATTAAACTAGGATCCTTAATTTTTCACATTCATTTTCTCAGTCCTTGTACATTCATGTTTTTTTCTTTCTTTCATTCCTTCAGAATGCATGATTTTTTGACGCCGTCATTGGCCGCTAACACTTCCCTTTAGTTTTGCTGGAACATTTCTTTCCAGCTTCGAATTCTATTTTGGTGTTTGGAACTACTTTGCTTGGCTAAATCAAATTTCTCCCGTTGCGATTGTTTATTGAGTTTATAGCGGCGAGTAGAACTTAATTGGAAACAAAGACAAGTGGTATTTGCTCAAATTAGACCGGACAAATTTTAGAAACAAATTCTCTATTACTGATTGTGGTAAGTATGCAAATTCAAATGTGCTTATTTTACAAATGAAATATAAATTTGGGAATAGTTTTTTTGCAAATTAAGCTTTACAAATATTACAAGCAAAATATTAATCAGAGTGGGGTAAATGAAAGGTAAAAAGTTAATTTAGTTAATTAATCATTGTCTAATTGGGAGCGGTTTAAAACCCTTTTACTTTTCTCTGCAATTACTGGAAAGTTATTTGCACTCTCCGAACTGGTATTATCTAATTCACTGCTATTTCCGTCAGCCGCCATAGTTTTGTCACGTTCTTCTTGAGCCTCGAACGCAATGTAAAGATTGTTTGGGTAAGGTTTATCTACAGTTTTAGAACTTTCAGCCAAATCTTCACGCAATTCTTTCATAGTGTATTTCCTTCTGTTATACAGTCCTGGGTCTGGCGGTGACCAGTCCGAGTCATCAATATTTATTTCCCTTTGAAACGGCTGTGTATTAAAGTTATCGAAAAATGGTGTCGAAGAAGAACAAGGGTTATTTTCTAAACTACCATCCCAGTCGTCGAGTAAAATTTGGTTATTAAATTCTTCTTCGCGGGTCAAAAAGTGACCAAAAGGTAAACAAGTTACCAGGTCACCGAGGAGGAATATCTTTGTGTCCAAAGCTGTTAACGCTAATTTATTTATGTTGACAGTTTGTAGCTCGTGTTTTTTCGATCTGATACTCGTGTTTTTAACTCGAAATTTTCTGTGGTTGAATAGGGCGTCCTTAAAGCGATCATATGTCAGCTGTTTTTGTGCATACCAAGAGATTCCTTTCGCTGAGACTTTGTTGCTCCTATCTAAAACAAAAAAAAAGATATTACTTTTAAAACGAGCTCTGTTTATGTAATCAATCTACAAATTATCATAAAAGCAAAAAAGAAAGAAATTGTGAAAGGTATTAAAGGTGCCAACCAAATTTAATTATTTTTTCTGACATTGGGTTCTTGGTATTTGTTTAATTTTTACCACTTACTTTTGAGTTTAAGAGAATATAATTTTGGTTTGAGTGCTACAAATTCTTCTATCAAGTCTTCACCCATCTCGTCCTTGAACATTAGCACCTGTTTCTTGTGGGTTTCATTATACAGTGGTCCTTGTTTGGGATAGTTCGAGAAGTCAAACAAGTGTCCCATTTTTTTTAGTTCCTCGTATATATCGTCACATTTTATCATATAAATAAAGCTATCAGTATCGGAGTACAATAGCTCGAGATTAAAGTTTGGCTTCATTTGCACGTAGTGGGTTTCGAACTTGTATTTTTTTGCAATGTCTAATATTACTGCGCCAACGATCGTTGGCTTATCCCACCGGATTGAACTCGGATTGAATGTTATTGTAGCAAGGTCTTCGTGTATAATTTGGAATGACTTCAATGAGCTCTGGCACAACTTTTGCAGTAGCTCAGTTTCGTTACGCACCATACTCATTTTTGTTCTGTTTCGTTTACTTTCCATCGTCTTGCCAAAAGATGAGTTTGTTTTGAGCTTATAAAAATTTTCCTCAAAAATGTTCCTAGCCTTCTTTCTTATCTCAGTGTTCATCTGTACAAAAGGGGTCATCCACTTACACTGTCGGAATTGCAGCACTCTATGAAGGTGAGTCACCTTCACACCTAATTGTATGTAAAGCTGAAGGGTCAGATAATGCAAAATATATCCTGACTTTTTTTTGTAGAGACTGTATAAGCTTATGCACTTTGGGCAGGGTTGGCAAAATGTAAGTTAAAAACAAAAATAACAAACTGACTGTTACTTATCGAAAAAAACATGTTATTTTTGTTAAATTGTTAATTAAAATAACATATCAACAAGAGTTAAGTTTCTTGAACAGAAACGCCAACTTTCCGGCTTTCTCATTGCCGAGTTGAGCACGAAGCTTCCCATACGTCGGGTGAGATTTTTCGCTCTGTAGTTTGTCAAGTGAAACTGCAATTGGTTTGATTTTTTTTGTTCATCCGTTCGGGATTCGCTACAATCGTTTCGGAACAAGCATGCAGTATAGTTGCGTTGTGTTTTTCTAAGAATTACTCATATTTCTAAGAAATAGCTAACATCACTGTTAGAAATTATAAATTACACTGTAAGTTAAATTCAATGTTAAATAACATGCCAACCCTGACTTTGGGTAGACTGGTGATACCTAATTTGCCCATCATTTCCACTTGATCGGTACTCAAGTCAGTTATCTGTACAACTTCTTTTGATGGCGCGGGAGGATAGTCTTTGAAGTAGTCATGGAGCTCGTCGGGGAACTCGATATGTACCTCCGCTAGGTAACCCCACTCACTATCCTCTTCCGTCAGTAGTAGTTTAGGTTTATCCACCGAGTCGCCGCCCATTTGAAATCGTTTAAGGGTAACGAGTAATTTTGCATGATACCTCCGTAGAGATTATTTGCGTCGATGTTTACGATGAACGAATTTTCCTCATTTTTATCGTGGTCGTCAAGATACTGGTTGTTGGCTTTCCAGTATTTTCGGGCATCTACAGACGACATTCCACCACGAATCATCCCCTGTACAAAGTGAAGGTGGTCGCGCTCGGTTAGCACTCGAAGATCTGCTCGGCAAATTTTAAGGAACACATCCCCCTGCCAAGTTACTTGGGGTATAATGGTGCGCGCAATCGACTCCATATGTTTCATAGCACACGGATCGAAAAGCTTTGAACACAGAAGCAAGTAACAGCACATCGGTAGAGAGGTACAGGTCGTGGTAGTCACCAATTGAATTACAGCCGAATTTTATGAATACCATGATTGCATGGTTGAACTCTGATCGATCTACACTGACCTCACCGCCGGCTAGGCTATTCGTCCACAGTCTTCGGAAGGGTAATCGCGGTTCATCGAATTTCTTGAAGCTATCAATGTAGCTGTAGGGGTAGTACCCTTTTCGTTTCAAAAGGTCGATTTTCTCCATTGAATGTTCTTTTGCTTTGAAGAAGTTTTCTGAAATTATCAGGTGGCAAATTATTAACGAGCGTTGATAAGGAAGATTGCATGATTTTGTAGGAGTCGATAAATCTCAGATTCTCATACACATTTCTAGTTTTTCCACTTTTATCGTAGAACGTTTTGATCCATACCGATATGGTTATTGAGATGAATTTTTTTCGGTGCTCGGTATGACAGAGAAGACATTGTGTGGGTTGCTTTTATTCAATGCTCGAATGATACAATGTAGGTCATAGTTTGCTAGATTGTGGGCAACTACAGGACTGAAATTAGTTGTCTTGCGGTTGATGTTGCATGCATTATGTGCCCACCCGAGAAACTTGTTGGAATAGTGACAGTGGTCTAATACCTTTTCCTCATCCCATCAAAAGGCAATTCGAATATCCAGCACTCGGATGTATCTTCTTTTCTTGTTTCTCTTTGCCCCGTGAACGCGTAATGTCTTCTTTTTTCAATGTAAACTTCCTTTGCAAGCGTTTCCAAGCTCAGTAAGAGATGTTCGATACTGTCAGGTCCCCTTTTCAACTCGAACATGACCATCTCGGGGTTTCCAAATTCTACAGCTGCGAATGCGTACCCACAGTTCTGGTGTTTTTCGATAAGGTGAGTGTTCGATTTTTCGTTGTCAGGCTCTGGGCCAGCTACGGGTACAATTAATGACTCCAAGTCGAAGTATACTATACGTGGTACAAACGATCGTACACCAAAGTTTTTAAACACATGTCGATCGTTGTCGGGCCCGGGCATCGTGATTTCAATGACATCTTGTCGATAGCAAATTTAAAACTTAGCAAATTTAGCTGTCAATAAAAGAGATTAAAAACCTCTAATTGCCAAGTACAAAAAATAGAAA